AATTCTTGGCATATAGCATTTAATAAAACATTTAACAAAAACTATTTTCATTTCCTTCAAAAAGGAGTTACATTTTTTTTTAATTAATTACTCACCAATCTGCTAAATCCGTTACACCTTAATACATATATTTTTATTATTTATTTTTTAGATCAGCTACTAAGTTAATTTTAAATTTGGTAGCAAAATATTCAAATGTGTAACGACTAATGTTGGAACTTAAAGTTGATTGACACATTTAGAGTTGTAACTGCTATATTTGGTTGAATTGTTGAAAAAAAATATGATTGACACATATCTTTTTTTTTTTTTCAAAAATCAGAAACACCAATAATTTTTTTTCTTAATGTTAATTTTTTTAATATATGCCACACATATATAAATTATTTTATCCATGTTACTAACGTAAACGTTGAATGGTTAAAATAAAATTTAAATCTCAACTAATTTTGAATTATAAAAATAACTTAAGAAAAATTAATAATTTTTATATGATAGAAATGCATGTCTAATTAATAAATACAAACAAAAACGTGTTATATATGTGCAAATGCACATGATCAAATTAGTATATATAATTGCTAGCAAAGCATTTAATAAAACCTCATTTATTTTTCATCCAAAATAAGTTACAAAAACATGTTTACTTTGTTATCTTTCTTTTTTTAAATTTAGACCTTAAAGAACTCATTATATTTGATCCATTTATATAATTGCTACAAAAAAATAATAAAACTATATGAAATTTTCACATTTTTTGGTTACAATCTAATATATATTATTTAAAAAATAAAACTAAAGCTTAATCAATTACTTTTTTTAATAATTTTTTATTAAAGTAATCATATTTTTATTATTTTATTATATAATAGTCATTACTAAAAGTAACCAATTCAATTATAATTCGCATTAAATGATATATAGAAGTTAAATATATATAAAATGTCATAGTGCAAAATTTTTTCTTAAACTATTTATTGCTCTTAAGCATTTTTTTAATAAGTTAATTGGTTTTAATGGTATAACCGAACCTCTCAAAATTTCATAATAATAATAATAATTATTATTAAAATAATTAATAGGTCAAGTTATGTGAAATTTATAAAAACTACAATATCAATTTCATTTTATGCAATCAATATACTGATAAAAGTAAATATTTCTATAATGTTCATCTTTACTAATGACATGTGATACTATTATACCTAATTTATACTTTAATAATATATACATAAATATAACTTATAGTAATAATTTTAACCATATGTGCAGATATTGAATATAATATACAAGAATAACAATTGAAGAGTAACAACGCGGTCAATCACAGATTGAAGAGCAACAACGCAGTCAAAATATCAAGTGAAGCGTTGACTACTTCTCAAATATACTATTGATGAGTAACAACACAGTCGAAGTATCAAGTGAAGTGCAGCCAAGTAGGTATCCTGTTCATGGCCTGCAGTGTAATCCTCCATTTTCGGCCTTACAATACGTGATAAGTATTATCACCTTGAGAAGACAAGCAAACATTAATCCTCGACAATAGTCTAAACATCAAGATTGCTCATCTACAAGAATGGTGGATTCATTCCCCACCCCTAGTTCATTAAGAGATGCCGCATCATCCTCAAGCAATGTAGGTAAAGGGGAACACTGTATGTGAAGATCCACGAAAGTTAGTACTTTACGTATACGAAACCAAACATAGTGCCAAACAAAACTGAAGGAAAAAAAAAAAAAAAAAGTACAGAGGGAATATCGCACAAACCTCTTCTTGGAGATACAATATTGGCTTGATGGACTTTAACTTGAAGAAAATGTCACATAGAAATTTCAGTTTCCCAACCTATAGGGAAAATGACAAGAAAAAGATACAAAAAAAAAAAAACCATCATGCATGTTATATAACTCATAAAGGTCATCAAGCACTTAAAAGAAATTCCAGCCTTGTGAAACTTCGTAGAATAATCACCGTTGTGGTTGCTGGTAGCTTTTTTACTACTGGGGGCTTTTCGCCCATTGATGCCCCAACACATCTCAAAGTAATAGCTGCAATTACGAGTATAAAGTTCAAAATAAATTTTCAAATCACGAGGGCTAAAATGAACACAGGATTCATACAAATTAATCCAGAAGCTGTGTTTTGAGCACCCAATCCCCCTATCGAAGGTCTTTCATCTTCAAGTCCATGGGTCTTTTTAAGCTCAGCAAACCTGTTTGTCAAATCCATACTAAGAACGAGTTAGAGTGATAATTTGATATCTCATCGTATAGAGAAAAACTACATGATGATGATTGTTGAGTAATCATGGAACAAATGTAGTGTTTATTTCCTGGATACTATCGAAATAAATATTCCACTTATACTCCTTTGTAACAGCTATGAATAATACTATATCATCATAACGCTTCACTCACTATGTGGGCCGTGCACTAGCAGATGTTAAAGATAACTAGAAAAGGAACATTAAAAAATGATACCTTGGATGGAGCTTGCCAATTTCCTCTGGACTGGCATGAAACTTTGACATTACCAAGCGAACATAGCTGCAGGAAAACCCTAGATAATGTTGGACAATGGAAAGTGAAAATCAATACAAATAACCGATTCTTTATTTTGTCAATCTCGCAAATCACCATGGGGGACATAACTCTATCTTTATGGATGCTTTCCATGCAAAAATATATAATGTCACGAGCCTCCATGGTACTTTAAAAAATGGGATGTTACTGATGCTTCAAGCTCTACATTCTTTTTGTCCTCAAAGCATCAATTTTGCAACTAATTGATCCACCTTTTTTTTATCTTTTCAAAAATCATCTATAAGCATTTTTCTAAGGTATAGTTAATGCATGCACTCTGCACTCATATATATATATATATATAGATATAGACTATTTTTGGTAAAACTGGCTGATAAGCAAACTGATAGCTGAGGAGCTTATAACTTATGACTTATAGCTTATATGATAAAAGTGTTTGGTAACATTAGCTGATAAGCTAGCTGAAATAAAAATTTCAACGAGCTTATTTGAAAAGGTACCAAAGAAGTTTATAAGATAAGCACGAGCTTTTTAAAAAAGTTCGTCCTACCAGACGAAACTTATTCGAATACAAGAAGCATATAAGCTAACCAAATAAGCTATAAGCTAGCTTGTTTGTCTACCAAACATAACCATAGATATCTACCCATTTATATTGATGCTATGCTATGATTAGCATTCTGAAAATAACAATACCGTATTTCGGAGTCTTTCCGTTCTCGAGGACTAATCTGCAATAACCAAAAGCAGATAGCATTATGCTAGCAGGAATAATAATAATAATAACAACAAGAAGAAAATAAAAAAATAACTACTGGAAATTACCTCACTTCCATTTAGTATCATAATATTTGCTAACCGAGCAATAAAGACAAATCTAGGGACACCTCCTTTCCCCAGATCCGTAACAGGATTTTCGGACAGTCTAGTTTCCTGTGACAATAAATAGCATGTATTACTAAAGAAAATAATACTTTTCCAAATACAAATTATTCAGAGATTCACCAGAAATATTAACCAGCACTTTCACACATAAAGCAAGCAAACTAGAAGTCAAATGATATTCGTCTCATTTCAATGCGCTATGTCTGACATTTTGACTCATGCTCAAAGACAAGAAGTTCAGAACACACACACACACACAAAAAAAA